ATATATAATACTCATAAAATGAGTTAAAAATATCTAGAAAACATGGAAAATAATAAAGATTAATGAAAAGAAAAGAAAAAAATTTATTAAAATCAAAAATTTAAAAAAAATTTGAAAAATACAAAAGCCAGAATTTCATAAACCAGAAAAGAAAAAACATGAAAATATATAATCTCTTCATCAGCTCACTCTACAAAAAAGGAGTGCTTTTTAATATTGTGTGAATATAGCCAGACAAAGCAAAATACATTAATACAATAGTGTGTGAAGCACTCAAAAAACTTTAAACAACACAGAACAAATTAAGTAAAAATTATATCTAGTAAAAAGACAGAATAAAACATAAAAAACGAAATCTATAAGGCGAGTAGCGAATTCAAATGAACTAACATGTATCGTAATATTTCAAGAACGATATCAAATATTTTCGTAATAAGATTGCCAAATTACAAAATATGGAGTTAAAAGCGTAAATAGAGGGAAATTTTGTTTTCGCATTTTTACTGCAGTACTGAAGCGCGTGTGATTCTTTAGTTACTAAGGATTGGCCCTAAAATGGATGAGCGCAATGTATTAATATTATACTAGATAATTTAAAGAAGTTTATAATTAATAAGGTTGATATTTAATTATGCAATTTTAATGAGTTTAGGAACATTTATTAAAAAGAGAGAGAAACATGATTTGACCGTTTTGCACAGATTTTTAGCCATAGATTTGCGCATGGTAAAAATATAAGTTAACAAAAAGAATTTTTCTAAATTTATTAATAAAATCATATAATAAACTTAATGATTTTTTATAGACTTCAATTATTTTAGTTGGATATACTGAACTTAAAAAGTAAAAAGAAGTTTTTAGTAAGTTTATTAATAACAACATAAAACCAATTCAATGATTCTATACAGAAATTAATAATAGCATTAGTTGCGTATCCATTGTTTTTTTTAAAAATCAAATTTTGAAACAGTTTGTCTATTTGTTTTTTGGATAAATAAGCATTCCTACATATTATTTCAATTCTATTCATTTGATTAAAAAGGGTATTTAAATAGATGTTCTTAGAAACATTAGAATTCCAAGTAATTAGTTTATTCATATTAAAATTAAAATCATTTCTTTTATCGTATAAATCAGCAAAGCAGATATTTTCTTCTTTTATAATACCCAAATCCAAAAAATTAAAATTAATTTTATCATCATGATTTCGAAGCAAGATTAATTTTTTCATAATAGTGCAAAAATAAGTCAGATAAGAGAGATGAAAAATTAAATCCTTGTGGTATTCATCAATTTGAATAAAAATATGTTTTCCATTGTAAAGACAATAATTAAAAAGACAAAAATTGATTTATAATTTCCCAATAATCAGAATCGCAATTAAGGATATTTTTAAAATCATAGTAATAATTCAAAAGGACATCTTTTAGTTTAGAAAGGGGAATGCTATTGAAAATATCCTGGAAATCAAAAGTCGCAATAGAATTAATTTTATTATGTTTAATAAATTCTAAAATCTGTTGATTACAAGAGATAATTCAAGAGAAACCTTATTTAATAATATTGTTAATAATTTTATTTGATTAGCTGGAGAAAATGGTGCCAGATTTAGTTAGGTATAAGTATTAGACCCACATGTCATAGTTCTAAATTTTATAGGAATTTTATGAAATTTAGGACTCTGATAATTAAGTAAGGAAATTGTATATTGCTAATTTTAATTTTTGACCTCTTATATAAAGCTAACCTTTTTTTTATTTTAATTTTATTAAAATTACAAAGCTTTAATTTTTACTATTTTTCTAACTCTGTATTTAAAAGTTCAAAATAGAATTTTTTACAAAAGATTGCATAATTATTGTTAGCTTTGTCTATGGGGGTAATAACAAATTTTTTTTGTAGTTGCTTAATTGATTGAACAATTTTAGAAAAATTTGTTGAATTGTTACTGTTATTTAAATTTTCCTTATTACTGAAAACAAAGCTTTTAAAGTAATAATAAACAGCCCATTTCCATTTTCTGTTAAAATACCTAAAGGTAAAGAGAATGTATTTGATATCTATAAACAAAAACTATTCAGATCATTAAGAAAGTATTTTAGAATATTATTACTTGATCTATATTAAATTAGTCTAAATTTCATGCCTTTTATCATTAAATTCCTAAGTTCAAAGTTTTCTATAATATTTAAATGACCAGTATTGATATGTTTATGATGTTTATCAATAAAGTCAAGATATCTCTCTTCTTCACAGTGACATTCATAATCGGATACATGAATCCTCCCTAAATTTTTGCTAATATCAGTATAATTAAATTTAGTTCTACCAAAGAAATGTCTTATATTTAAGGCTTTTAATTATATTAAAATATTTTTTAATGGAAATAAATTTTTAAATTTTCAAAAATGTTATGAAATTTTATCTTCTCGAAAATAGGGTTTTGAAAGTTAATAGCGAAATATAAATTATCTAAATTTTTCTCTTTATTTGGGGAAATTTTACTAATTTTAGCGTTTACAAAATCGAAACAAAGAATTTTGAAGTGTAAATTAATAAAAGAAGAGTTAAATTAATCTCGGAGCTGATATACAACATAATTTTTAAGGGGGAAAACAAAATCTTCCATTGGTTTAATATTATAATGTTTATTAAAAATTTTTTCCATGTGGGAAATAAAATTTACATTTAATTTGTCACTATTAAGAGAGTTTTTACTACTTACTGCTCCCGATTACTTCGATTTGTACGCTTATCTTTAATACAAAAAAGTTAATAAGTTGAAGAGTTATTAAAGTTAATCTGGGTATGTTGGAAGGTATCGATTAGCCCGTACGGCAAAATTGTTTTGCATAAAAGCATGTAGTAATTTTCATTTTGTAGTCTTATATCAAAATCTTCTACTACATCTAAAATCATCTAAAATACTAACTTTGACTTTTTTTCTTAAAGTCTTGCTTGCCTTTTTCTTGAAGCCTTACCGAGTCTTGCTTGAACCAGTATTGAATTTTGAATTTAAATTTTGAATTATTCACTTTATATATATATATATATATCTGTTCATATGCTATAATTTAGTAAAGTAATGCATAGTTAAATCCTGCCGGAATTTAAAGTATATACAAGTTTTTAATTAAATAAATAATAAAATTTCTGAACACTTTAATCACAGCTTCTTAAAATAATTAAGGCATGTAATTTTTTTTTGATGCGAAAAATAGATTTTTCTTTGTTAAATTGTAGCGAGTGAGCCTGGTATATATATTTCCGCTGTCATTAGTAGATGTTTTAAATTTTGAATCGCCAATGTTGTTTAAATAAATAAGATTTAAAGTTAAATTTTTCTTAAAACTAAGTATCAAGACTTTGGCTTTCGTCAACTGTAACTAATTAAATGAAACTTTATTAAGAAGAGCAATGTTTTGCTTGCATTACTTTACTATTTATGCAATTAACAAANATATATAATATTGAATCAGTAATTGTTGAATCGACATAAATATGCCTGTCAAAGTGCTGATTGCGAAACCAATGGTCACGGGGCATGGATGTATCTTTCTTTCTTTCTATCTATCTCTTAAGTAACACTGTCACGGATATCAGTGTCACTGCTACTTGAGTAATGTTTCTCGCCCCCGCGACTCAGGTTCACAGGTGTCTACTGGGTAACGTTGAATGAGCAACATTTTTGGCATCTTGGCATCCATGGCGAAGAACATATTTGATCAGGAGCCAGCCATTAAAAAAATATGGGCACTAAGCAACATTTCTAAATCAATTTCATTTGCAAATGGTTAAATAATCGACACGAAAATTTTTCTTTTAAAAATAGAAAAATGTTCAGTAAAAATGTATCCTGTATTTTTAAATCCAAAAAAATTAATGAAGCGCCTTTTTTTTTAGAAATTCAAAAGCAAACGTGTAGTATAAATATTATGCAGTAACTCTTACCTTCATGGTGATTGCAGCTATTATTATATAGAGAAAAGTAGTGATATCCTTAAACCACTATTTATCATAAACACCAGATCACACTGTCCTAGTAAAATCAGAAAAAAAGTGAATTTACTTATTGTTGTAATGGCTTACCTGGAAATAACCATCTTTTTTCAAAACAACAGGGAATTTGTGGAATTCCCAAGTCACATACGACCATACGAATGTCGGAAATTGTTCTCCGTTGTAATCTAGAATAACTCTAGAGAGAATGGCATTCTTTTGTCCGGCAACATTGGGGCCTGCTTTCATTAAAAGATACAAGCAGGAGCCATTGGTTGCATAAATCCACTGCTGTAAATGAATGGACGCAGTCTGACCTGGCGCGAGTACGGTGCTCACCATATTACCTGAAATAAACAAGCATTTATGAATAGACTTCCTATGAACATCAGTATTATCCTAATTAGAACTTTAACCTAGTTAGCATCACTTAAAAGTAATATCTTAGTGAATGATCCTTTTCCTTTTTATCTTCGTTTTTTAAATATGAATTTATAAAATTCTTCAATTAAATTTCAATTGCAGAAGATTTGTTTGAAGAAGAGATATTTCAGTCATAAGAAAATAATGTTAGATCATTTCAATTGTTTATAATTTGGTTTTATCATTCAGCCAATAGCAGGGAATGTTCTATCAATGACACTCACTTTAAATCTATTAAAATTATTACTTCATTATATTTTTTTCACGTCCAACCCAGGAAAATTATTTTTATGGAGAATAAAGTAAGGTTTTCATGGTAAAGTATTTCATAGTAAAATTTTTGTATTAAAAACTTTAAACTTGTTTAAATTAAGAATAGTTTGTTACAAATAATTATTGGGTTGTTCGAAAAGAATTTTTTCTTTGAAAATGAAAGACGATTTTCTCATAGTAAAAAAATATATTTTTTTAAAACTATATATTGTCTATTCTTGTTCAATACACACTTTTCCATCTTTTTGGAAGTAATATGATTCCTAGCTCATAAAATATTTTGTTCTTTTCTGGCAAAAAAAAATAATAATCCAAATTATATTTGACTCAAGTAAAGGTATTACCGTCTAAAAATTTTGACAAAGACCAGAAGAAATACTATCCTGTTTCTCTTGCACAGTGATGATGCCTTCAAAAATGGATGATTTTCCTGACGTTAGAGACGTTTAAATCCATGGTACAAATTCCTTTGTGTAAGAAAATGAGGAATCCATATGTGGAATACACCTAGGCGTTTCAAATGACCTTGAAAAGTTGAATTTAATCTCTCGATAGCCATTCACATCAATTAATGCCTTTATTGTGTCTTCATCAGCTGGTATTTTCGTGTATCGAAATTTTGCAAACCGGTTTAAATACTGTCAATGCATTTTCTCCTATACACATCGGGTAAATTTTGTCCTGCTTGAACAGCATTTTTACTTTTTCGATAGTAAAATTTGCAAAAAATTTGCTGTCTACTTTTTATAGTTGAAAGGGTATCCACTTTAGGCTTCCGTGTCTTCGAGGGTCTATTGAGCGTTATGCATAAAGAAATAAATATCATTCATACATAAACTAAATTTATTAACTAAAACAAGAACACAACCATCTGATCTGACGGCCGAGAATGAAAAGTAAAGCTGAAAAAATGAAAAACGAAATAACAACTACAGTTGTCAACCGAACGTTGCCAACGGTGTTAAATAAAACTTAAATCTTTAAATAAAGTTAGGTGAGGCTAGATATATTGCTCACCATAGTACTCCCCCTCCAGTGAGGTCCACGAACGTTACCAAAAATAAACTGCGCAAATGTCTATTGCGGGTAACGAACAGGTACTTGAACTTTTCTTCCTCCCATTGTAGTTTTAGTTGAAGATCGAGGAGAGTTTTCAAATTTAACCGTATGCTGTTTCGGTTTGGAAGGTGTAAGATTCGTTGATTGTTGTGAAGATTCCATACTGTTCTTTAGAACTGATTTATATGGAGGATTTGTGGGGAGATTTTCAACTCTTGGATGCACATTGGACGTATTGTCTGTAAAACATGGTTTAAGTCTGTCAATGGTTACTGTTGATTCTTTATTTCCAATTTTTAAGGTGAACACTTTGTCGTTGCGTTTCACAACTTTATGTGGGCCGTGATACGAAGGTTCGAGGCTTCGGCGGCCACTGTCAGTTCTCACAAACACATGAGTGCACGTTTTTAAGTCTTGATGCACAAAAATATTTTGCTGTCCGTGCCGTGGTACTTGAGTAGGAAGCAACGTAGACATGAACTCACGAAGTCTTTGTAGAAAAACCGGGACATTGCGGGATTCTTTGCCAGTACTAGAAGGTCGGAAAAAATCTCCAAGCAATCGAAGGGGTGTGCCATAGAGCATCTCTGTCTTCTTTAATAGCTGTTCTCATTCCTAAAAGAATTAGTGGGAGGACTTCGACCCATTTTTCTGTGGCATAGGCTCTAATGGACGATTTTAAATGTCGGTGAAAGCGTTCGACCATTGAATTAGCTTGTGGGTGGTAAGTTGTTGTTCGAGTTCTGTGTATACCCAGCATTCTGGATAATTGCGAAAAAAGTTCACTTTCAAACTGTGCTCCTCTATCAGTAGTTACAGTTTCTGGAACTCCAAAGCGAGCTATCCAGGTATTCAGTAGGGTAGCAGCAACAGTTTTAGCAGTGGTGTCAACAATTGGCGTTGCTTCAGGCCAACGCGTGAAGCGATCAATTGTTGTGAGACAAAATCTAAAACTTTTTATGTAGGAAGTGGTCCGACGATATCAATATGTATATGCGCGAACCTATTAGAAGTCAGAGGATAATCTTTTAAAGGTGATTTCGTATGCCTTTGAATTTTAGCTCTCTGACACGAGACACAAGCTCGACACCAAAGGGTACAATCTTTATTCAAGGAAGGTCAAATGAACATTTGTTTAATGAGACGAATTGTTGAGCGTATACCGGGTTGTGACAGGTTATGAAATTTGGAAAAAATTATTTGTCGATAAGATTGAGGAATAAATGGACGTGCAACATTAGTAGAAGTATCACAACAAAGTATTATACCGTCAGGAGGAAATATAATATTTTTGAAAACTAAACTAGAATTGGCTGACGACTTTAAAGTGCTAAGTTCAGGATCGGATTTTTGCGCTGCTGCAAGTTCAGCGTAGTGCGTTGGACCAGTGAGTGCTATTTCCTCAATGCAGGAAAGTGCATCAGCAACAACATTTTCTTTTCCAGGCACGTGACGAATCGACGTTGTAAACTGACTTATATACTGTAAATGTCGGTTTTTACGAGGTAAAGAGTCATCCGATTTCTGCTGGAATGCGAAAGTCAGCGGTTTATGATCCGTTAGCGCATGGAATTCTCTTCCCTCTAACATGTGAGCGAAGTACCGCATGGAAGAGTAGACTGCGAGTAACTCTCTATCATACGTACTGTATTTTCTTTCCGTGAGCGTGAGTTTGCGAGAAAAGAATGCTAGAGGGTCGAGTGTGGAGTTTTTTAGCTGCAGAAGGACTGCGCCTATACCGATGTCGGACGCATCTGTACGCAAAAACAATTTTGCGGCGGGTGTGGGGTGTGCAAGTGTTGCTGCATTAGAAATGGCTTGTTTGCAAGTTTCAAAAGCGCACACAGCTTCAGTTGTCCAATTAATGGGTGTAGGGTCTTTCTTTTTGTTTGTGAGTAAGGAACTAAGGAGATATTGTTTTTCAGAGGCGTGATCTGTAAATCTATGGTAAAAATTGAACATTGCTAAAAATCTACGTAATTCCGATATAGTTTTAGGTTGGGGAAAATCGGTAATTGCGGACACTTTACTAGATGAAGGAGCAATTCCACCGGGAGACACTTCAAAACCTAAAAATGTTAACTTTGATTTTCCAAACACACATTTTTCGGTATTCAAAACAATTCCGTATTTATCAAAACGTTTAAAAACTATATTTAAGTGAGTTAAGTGTTCTTTTAAAGTTTTGGAAGCAATTAAAACGTCATCAAGGTATACGAACCAAAATTCTAATCCCCTTAAAACGACATGCATGAAGCGTTGGAAAGTTTGTCCTGCATTGCAGAGCCCGAACATCATTTTAGTGAATTCGAATAAGCCAAAAGGGGTAATAACAGCTGTTTTTTCAATGTCTGCTTCCGCGACAGGGATCTGATGATACGTTCGAGCAAAATCTAACTTTGAATAAATTTTTGAGTCATTTAGGCTATAAACGAAATCATGAATGTGTGGGAGAGGGTATCTGTCTGGTATTGTAATAGAATTTAACCGTCTGTAATCACCGCATATTCTCCAAGTGCCGTTTGACTTCGGCACCATATGAAAAGGACTTGCCCATGGGCTACTTGAAGGCCTGCATATAATCAAATTCTTTTTTAGCGGCTGCAAGTTTATCCGGTGGCAAACGTCTAGCTTTTGCAAACACCGGAGGACCTGTAGTTTGAATATGATGCTGAACGTCATGAGTTGAAGTGTTGAAAGTTAAGTTATTTGTACATATGCGAGGGTACTGCAATAATAATTTTCGATAGTCAGCATCTTCTGCAATTGTTGTTAAACCCAAAGAGAAAGTAGGGAATGTTTCCCCTTTAATACCAGCGTAAGTTAAGGAATCAATTAATTTTTTATGTTTTAAATCAACCAGCAATTTAAAATGGGTAAGAAAATCCGCTCCTAAAATTGGTTGAGTAACGTCAGCGACAAGAAATTTCCATTGAAATCGCCTGGAAATTCCGAAATCTAAAGTACATGTTGTTTGACCGTAAACTGCAATTTTTGAACCATTAGCAGCATAAATATCAAAAGATTTATTAGAAATCAAATTTTTCTGCAGATGTGTTTTTGGAATAACTGAAACAGAAGCCCCGGAGTCTATAAGAAACTGGCGGTTGGTGAGCCTGTCGTATACAAATAGGCGACTTTGACTAGGACATATATCTGTCGTCGCACGAACAGAGGATCCAATCAGTTTTCCGAATTTTGAGCGTAATTGCAAGGAGGAATGCATTTGTTAGCTTTAGTACCGAGTTTATAGTGGTACCAGCATAGAGGTCTCGCCACAGTGCGCTGCGTCAACCTTGAACGAGAACCTTGTCTACGAGTGCTAAATTTATTTTTATTCCGATATTGTTGTCTAGACAAATGTGTAACGGTCTCGGAAAGTTTACGAATTTCATCCTCCAATTTTTGAAACCGCGAATTGTCATCGGTCGCGTTTATAGAATTTACTGTCAATGAATTTTGAGTTACCTCTAAACTCTTATCGGCTTTTTCGGCTAGGAGAGATAAATTTTACTCACCTTTTTCCATGCAAAATGAAAGAATTTGTTGCATGGACACCGGTAAACGCTGAAAAAAAAGTGAACGTAAAATT